TAATAGACTGAGACACTAGAGGCAACTTTTTTACAAGTTAGGTAGCGAAAATGTTTGCCAATTTTGGTCTTATAGTTTTCTAATTCGATGAGCTAGTTGGAAACCAAATATATTTTACGTACTGGTTAGTTAAATTTGACTGTGTTTTGAAATATTCTGGCACGCATTGTGACATCACAAGCAATTTCCTTCCTTCTGTTTAAGATATCAACACGGTGATATTGTCTCAACATATGGAAAACATCGTCTTCCTTTTTAAGGGTTTGCCAGTCCTTCATTATAAGAAAGTCTATTTTTACCGAGGAATGGGCACTACTTTCATGTTTAAAATAACATATATTCGGTAATCGCGTGCACCTTCTTTAAACTGTGTTACAACCCCTACAGAGTGTTCGCCAATTCAGTACCTATTGGTAACTTTAGGAATAAAAAGTCAAAGTACACCCAGCGTGAGCAAAAAATTCCTGGAGTTGAATCGAATCACCGTATAACATAGTCCAACGGAAGATGTCCAGCCTGCTGAGATACAAAGATATTTGCCTAACTTGACAGGTTTGCGCACCAAAAATGGTTTATCAATCATCTACTGGATAGGTTGATAGTTCACAACTTTTGGCGCCAGAACTGAGGTTTGTGTGAGGCTTTCAAAACAGACCAGATGCGACGTGTGGCCTGGAACCAAATTCCGGGAGACAGAGTGGTATTTTGCGAATACCTAATTTGAAAATTCGAAGCCAATTATGGTGGACGCATGCATATGTTTCAATGGGTTAGTCACATCATAATAGACGTAAGTGTTTGCTTGGAATATGCCTATCCGTTAACAATGCTATATTTACTTTCGTCTTGAGTAACATTGAGTTACAGCCAAACATATCGCACTTACTTTGTCACTAAGGCTTGTATACCGGTACCCTTATCAAGGAATTATTTTAAATTAATCCTGATATGGAATCGCTTGATTGTGATTTGGCCGTTTTTTCAGTTTGCATTATTTGTTTAAATCGTGGCTGTTGACCAGTTGTTCGTCCAAAACATCCATGCCCTCAAGGATAATGAAAATTATGGCTATCACAGTTTATTGCACAGAAAGATGGTGACTCATAAAATGACAAAAAATTGTATAAATGTTAGTTATAATTGGTTCCTGAGTTCTTCTCGTAGCTTATTGCGAAAACGTTGTTCCTTCTTTTAGCACATACTGTTTTTCCAGCTTCAATGTGATTGTTAGTGTTCATGAGTTTATATCAGTTACGCTTTTTCACAATTTGATGCTCGTTATTGCACTTTGTGCTGTAATAATATTTCAAAGTAGCCTGAATTGGAAAAAGGGCAGAATTAATTTCTGTGCACATAAATCTGGTTACGCGTTAGATAAATGAGATTGCACTGAAGTTTATGTTAATATTATGGCCAATAGGATCAGCCTATTGGAACCTAGACAGTATATCCCAAAAGCTATTGATGAACAAGTTTCTTGTAACTTTGCACATATATTTGTGATGTTGTTTAGCGTATCCTACAAAAGGCTTGAATATTTTTTGTTGTTATGTCCTTACTCTTACGTAGAGAGCAGTGGATGGCCCTTGTCAGCAGTGCTCTCAAGACGGCGCAAGCAAACTATACAAGAAACTAACTTTGTACATCAGTGATTCATTCGCAGAACTTGATCTATTTAGGTTAAAATTAAAAAACTCACAGGAGATAAACGGTGTTTAACCTCAGCGTGGTTCGTAGTCAGACTTCCTCGTAAAACATGGCTTAACTGGTGCATTTAACACATTTTCCCCGTTAAACTGTGTTTCCAATTGTCCACGCTTGACCTGCTATTGCACGCCGGTATTCTCTGCTGGAGTTATGCTGAACCACAGTTCGCCTACTTTCATGAACATTGGACATATTTCCTGGCGCTTTCAGTTGTTGGAGTTCCGTGGTTCTAACCCGACCTCTGCCTTTCGACTTTCCCTGTCTAGGTTTGAGTAACCTGGCAGTATTCCAGCCCTCGTAATTCCCTCCGATGGTATGGCACCTAGGTACCGAAAGGGTGTTACAGGTGAAAAATTAGTATCTTATATTATCATTTACACTTAAGAATGTCTCAGAGGACTCTTTGGGTGAAATTCATTGACCATAAATTTGACACTTAAAATCTTGCCAAATAAACACACTTATTGGTCAGCCGGTTTTACTACTACTTTTTCCTTTAAACAGTAGTTAAGCAGACCGCAAATAAACCGAGTTTTTTGCATTCTCAAATATGAATGTGTATTAAAACATTTTATCCACATGTCTGTGATTTAGTGCTGCAATGTTTGCCTTTTGACGTATTAGTAATGGCTTTGATATCCAAACATTTAGCTCAGTACGGTGTGGCGGATCTTGTGCTGTCGATATATTACAGGATAAGAAACCTGGCATATTTCAGTAGACACGGGTAAGTCTTTCTCGGTATTAATTTCTCCAGTCGCACTGAGCAGTCCTGGGCAATTCACGCTGCACAGAACTCGCGGAAATTTACTGCAGACATTGATTGCTCTGCAAGGAACTGTACAATGACTTCCGCTATCAATTCTAACCCACAGGTCGGTTGGTTCAAATTAAATATAGTGGCCTAACTGCTTCTAAAAATAACACATCCAGCAGGTTGAAGTGTTTGCTACCTACCGATTTGGTAGTATTATTAAAGTACGATTGTTCCAGAAAACCTTTCACAAAAAGTACATCACAGGTGAATTTGTTAGAAATACTAACCTTTTGTATTGTGGCTAATGATCTGTTTACCTAAGTTAGTGGTTATGGCTAACTGGTTAGAGATAAATAATAGGGTAAATTATTTATAAACAAGTATCCATTCAGTGTTAAAGGCGTTTTACTTGGCTTGACCGATTTCCTGAAAGCGTTTTGTCAACAGTCGAGATAACATCACAAGTGCGATGTTGTGAACTAAAGTCGAGCTGTGCGCTGGTAAACGTGATTTGGGTATCTGCTAAAATAAGCCCTCGTTTTCAGAAAAAAGTTAGTTCCGTTCTAGCTGAATTCACAAAGGATAGGTGAAAGTTTTTTATGCGTTGCAATTTATACTTTTTGCCGGCAAACGTTGTGTAAAGTAATTTTAGACAATGCGTATCTTTCAGTCTAAAACCTAAAGCGGATGCAGTATTCGGTAGATGACCGCAGTTGACGTGTGTATGGGGAAATATAATAATAAACAAGGCGACACGTGTCAACTGTCTATCACCTGACCATACGAGTATTCTAGAAAATTTTTAGAAATCTCTTGTGAATCTGACTTCACCAGTTTCCTCTGATGGTACTAGTGCTGATCCTCTACTTACCTTTCCGGCTTCTACCACGCTTCACGGATTCTTTGTGACCGAACGGAATTTTTAGCTACAAACATTTCCACCTTGTTGTGAATTCAGTTCATGCGTGTGAACCTGTCTGCCGTGAGGAATTCGTCCTCGTTATTACAGCTGTAGTAAGCTTTTGTGACTTAGCTAGCCTGCTTGGACTGTCACACTCAGGAAACCATATTATGTGGACAAAGATTTCACCACATTTAAGGGGTTACATGAAGTATTAACCTGTTTTCTGAAACAAAAAGTTTATCCGTAGAAAACCAAGATTTTGAGTACTTAGCTGATTACTAATTACTTTTCGTTAGGATCAGTACTGTTAGCCTGATAAGGGTTTTACGCTGCTCCTGAGTGGTTCAACTGTTTGGCTATTTATGCCGTACTAGAGTCAGTGTGCGTAAAAAAATGATTCCTTCATCGACCCGATATGGTTTGCAAATATTCAAAATATAAACACATTAAATACTAATGGGAATAAAAGATCTGTCCGGTTATTGATGCACACTGCGGACCTCTTACTAGCGCTGAGTTTTTTTTACAATTCTTAGTAAACTATCGGTTTTCACGTGAACATTTCCAATTTATCTAATCTTTTTGTGCCCATTTGAAGAGGATGCTTGATGCGATCCAAAAGAATCGATCTCTCGAGAGATATCTGCCCCTGGAAGGTGACTATTTGTCACAAAATCATTGAAAAATAAAAATCAAGTTAATGGCCTTGATAGATTTTATGACTTTTATGACTTTCACTTTGACTTTATCATCTAGCCTTCTGGCAGTATTTGCAGCAAAATTATTGATTGTTGGCGAAAATAAAATTTGGATCACATGAGTAAGTGAAAAATCTCATAACAGGACAGCACCCTCAATTGGGTATATTTTATATACTAAGTAGATACTGATAGTGGACCAAAGCAATAGGTCAAGCACTCTATTCTCACTAAAACTGACTATTACCTCTATTGTTTAATCAACTTTCTACTGGCCATAAGCTCAGGTGCTTACTAACAAACATTTCATACAAAACCCTGAAATTCAAAACAAGCAGTTTTCAGCCGCGTACAGAAAATACCAGAGAATTCTAAACGAAGTCAAGAGAGAGCCTCGGTAGTGATGATAACTTTTACATTCAAAAGAAAGGTTTTGGTGCTTGTATTCCCTCTGATTATTTCATAATAGAAGTGGCCTTATGAGGGTGTAACGCGAGCAGCAATATTCCTTCAGATAAGGCAGGTTGCAGTGCATACTTGCAACAAACAATTACACTACAAAAAGGGGATTCCTTGACGTATCAGTACAAAAGGTATTTCATAGCATAAAAAAGCTATTTTTTTAAATGTAGTAATGGACCCACCCTGTGGGAAGAAAATTCAAATTTGGGACAATTATAGTTTTTTACGAGCTTTCTAAATCGCACTTTGGGTGATTATTTTAGTTCGCTAACACAAGAAATTGATAACCCAGTATCTCTGCAACTACAATCTGTAATCCGTGGGCAATATCTGCACCGGAGGAACTTCCCATCCCTGAAAGTATTCTGTGTCAGGAAATAACGTTTATCGTACAAATGACCTAACATTGTTGTTAATGGACACATCTTGGCTAACACTAACGTGATGCTTTGCTTCCCTTTTTCTTTCTCAGTTACACCCTGCAATGTGTGCTTCCAGTTAACTACTTCATCGAAAAAGTGTACGTGTTTCTATGGTTTTGGTTCATTATTGTGGCAGGAATCACTGCATTGAACACGCTACAATGGATATTCAATGTGTGCGTCCCATTCCGTCGTGTCTATTTTGTCCGTCAATACCTGAAAGCACTCAAACAGCTCTCGCATACCGAAGAGACCGAATGTGCTCGCTTCGTAAACAACGATCTTGGCTGTGATGGAGTTTTCCTTCTTCAGGCCGTCAGTCGTATCTCAAGTGACCTTATTGTGCTCGATGTGACTGGAATGCTCTGGACCAACTATCAACGGGCCAAAATAACAGGAACTGAAGGAGATATTACACGGTTTATTGAAAGTATCAATCGGGTTGGTGGAGTTGGTACCGTATAGAAATCTTGCTCTTTTCCTCATCACCCTGCCCTTGCTTGCAATCCGTACCTATCGTCTCTCCAAAACCGGGGATTCCATAAAAGTTCTTACTTGATCCTTAATTTTGGGACTTTCAACATTTGACCAATGGCACACCTGATGCTCCAAGAGCAAATTCCACGCTGTTAGATATAACTTGTAAAGATTGTCACATATCAGTGCAATGTATTTTTGATGCTATAGAAAGAAACGCGCTGCCATTATGTAAATTCCATGCACAGTTTTTTTTGCAAATTAGGTTTGTTCAATAGAGAATGCACATGCATCCGGATGTACCCTCTGTAAATGACTAGCATGCACCCACGTAGAACCTTATGCCACTCGCTGATTGGAACTTTGTTTGAACACTTGCTTTTTCTATCTATCATAGAGAATCGTGTACTTGCTCATCTGCACTCAGCTGGTGTTACCTGGATACGCTCAATTCCGAAAGTTCTTTAGACTTTTATCGTCAATTCCGTGATGATGCATCAATACACAGGGTCAAGAATGCCTTTGCTCTTGGAAGTATGTTTTGGTTGGGGTTTGCGCACGTGAATGGTCCGGTTGCGGACATTTTTCACCACTTAGCTTCATTAGTCCAGCACGAAGGCAACCATTGTAGGACCGTCCATTTTCCTTGCTTTCGTTCTTCAGCAATTCAGAACGTAACGACACTAACAAATAAACACCACAAAATCCTACGAGCGCATCAGGAGCATTTTCCGAATAGACATGCAGGAAAGAGTCATAATTTTCCTAACTAGAATACTTTTGGTGCACTTGCAAAGTCTGGGGTTTAGATTGTATCACAGCTCCAAGCTACCCAACAGAATCACGGGAATGACTTTTTTCTTTGTCACGGCATGCGATGGGGGAATCCAAAACATGTGCGAATAATTTGATGTGTGCGCTCTTTTTCGCGTCCATTCATATGGGTATTCGGCTCTACTTTGTGCGAGATATCCGTCAGTACTCTCAATATGAATAAAACTGCGCTGTTGGTAAAACATAGGGCGAAAACGCCGGGCCAATTATATCTATCTGCGACACATCAGGTGGCTGCATTAGGGCATGGCTCTGTTGCTGGATAATTTCTGCAAAAAATGACTAATTTTTTCCATAATTAAACGACAAACGCAGGAATACATCCTTTCTTTCAACGTTGGTCATCGTACCAATTTGTGTAGGTGTCTTTTTAGCATGGTGAATTTACCAATCCACATTGTCTAAGGAATCCTCAAGGAAGATATCCCTATGGTGTGAAAGCTGGTCCACCGCGGAAATTTTAAGAGCCCCGTGAAGTGTTTTAACTGATTTCTCGGCTATGGATAAAAAACTAGAAAGTTGGACAAATGATTGCTTCATGTAGTTTTTGGCAAATCTCCTAAAATGTCCTCCGATTCGTCCGCTTAGCAATGATAAACTCCCGGTGGTTTCGGGCCCATAAGACACCAAACTTCGGGTGGATGCAGCCTGGGCGGCCAAAAAATAAGTCAATCGACTCAGCACACTATTAGCGTCAAAAAAGTTTGTTCGAAATCGAATTTTTCTGCTTCAAACAGCCATGTGTACTATAGATCTCATCCTAATATAAATGGGATTGTCCTCAACTACCATATATTCCAAGTAGAGCAGACTGTTTTCAGACAAAATATATCATTTAAAAATACTTTTAAAGATAGTCAAAATAACCCCTTTGGAAGGATGGTCCTTATCAAAGTTGATTTCATAAACAAACGCGCTTGTCTTTGTTTCGTTTCTAGTCGTCCCAGAAAACTTTTGAAAACTTTTGCGAGTTATACGCATCAAATTTGGGCCGCTGCTTCATTCTCTAACAGAAATCATTAACAAGGTTTGGAATTAATAGAAAAGAAATATCGAACTGCTGAAAAACTGATGAATTATGTTGCCGCTGCTATTGGCGCAAAATTATCATTCTATTGATGGTTGAAACACCAGGCAGAACAATTCATTTATTTTTTAAGCAACTGTTACTCAATTGTAGTTCTAACAATTCCTCAAAGCCTTAAAAGCATCATACAAACTCATTGTGTTTTAGTTTAAACGAAATACACACCTTCTTGCTACTTATTATTGACAATACCTTCGTACGGGTGCATTTTCTGGTGAATATTTGGGAATCATCTTATCTAAAAGGACGTCAAAGTGTTTTCTGCGATTCTTCTAAACGGAACCTCAGATTTTGGCTACCGCAAGTGGAAAACGGCACAAAAACTATTTTTAATGACAGTGTTAATTGTTCAATGACTTTTTTCTCCTCTAATCGAGGGTTTGTAAAGATTACCCGTTTTTGTCCCAGAAAGATTCCAGTGGTGGTGGTGTTGTCAGAAGCAGTAATACTGACTGTGTCAGAAGCAACTCGTATTTCCACGAACTGGCTTCAAACCACCAAAGTATGTACAATCTCCTCTATAAGAATTCAGTAGACTCTTCATAATAATTCAATAATTCAACATATTGGTCCTGGATTTTATGCCAGCTGGCAAAAGATTTCGTGGTCACTTGGAAGTGGCACATTGCAACACTGCGCCTTAACTCAGATCACAGTGTACAACATTACCCCCTGCTGAGACAAAACAGCGCCAAATAGAACATTCTAAGTGCTTTCAGCAGTACTCTCTCCGTGGCTTCACCAAGAATAAATTGGACAGTTCAACACACTTGCGCAGGGTCCCAAAACGCCGAACCATCAGATAGGGTCCCAAGACTGACTCGATCATTGTAAACTAGGTTAATCAGAGTACCCTTGGCCCAGGAAGTGTAAGAGTTTGCCTAATATTGTGTCTGTTAGTTTAAACCTTCTAGCCAGAGTGGCACATTGGATGGCATTTGTGTCCAAACCATGATGTAGCCATCCTTTTTATGGAAATCATACCGAATAATGAGTGCAGCCGGTAGAAAAGCGCAGATTAAACTGCCGATACAATTCAAACAACTTGGGCTGCTGAATGCATGCTGATTGAGTTGGAGCTGAGCAACATAAATCTGGGCCACATCGTACAGTTTTCCGGTAGATGTCTGACAAATCTCAACCAAACAGCGGGCATTTGAGAATATTTTTTCCGAAACCAAACACGTTCATTTTGTCGCCTTTCAAATCCCCAAGCATATGAATTTACGGTCAACAGATTTCCCTTGTGAAGCATAAAACGTATGAGCGGTTGGGGACAAATTATCAAATGTCTAGCGCATTTGTGATATAAGTCCAACGATGAAACCAACTAATGTCGCATCTTCCTGTTGATTTTGATGAGCTGAGCAGTTCTGTATTTTTACCTCATCGCTTGAAGTAAATCTACTGAAGAAAAATGCATAACATAAATGCTTATCATTGTCATTTGTAAAACAACAACCAATCGTGTAGTTTCTCACATATATTTTTAACTGCGACGTAACCGCCGCCTTATAAATCCTCAACTCAGACTTGGACCCTGTGGTGAGCTGTTCTAGTTTTCGGATAAAACTGCTCCTAAGGTTTCGACCTGTTCTACTTATCCTGGTCACCCTGAGCAAGCTGGTCTCAGTTATCTTATCCAGTGAGCAAATAAGGGTGTTTAATTTAGCGGTTTCCGAATGTCAATTGCAGGTGATCCCCCGATCCCACTGTGCACATGTGAAAGTTCCCAACAAATATGTTGTTACCTCCTCAAATGACCCTATTCATTTTATCTGGATTCACCACCTCCTCATCGAAAAACCTGAAAAGTTAGGCCTACAACATGTCATCCCTCATGTAGTTGAATTTCACTGCAACTTCTAACCAGAGTTGATATTACAGAAGAGGTTGACATAACTAGTGAATATCTCCTTCAAATATACTAAATATCCATTAGAAGCAAGATTATGAAAGAAACTCTTCTGAATTACAATTCTTACAATTGTTATCTTTGTAAGATTCATCATCGATCCTTACCAAGCCTTCGGACTTATGGTAGCCGGATGATTCCCAAGTTCGTCCAAACCTGTATACACCAAAAATCACACCTTAATTCAAATTCACAGGCTGCTCATAGATGTGTTCGAGAAATACACTCATTTGCAAATCAATTTGGTTTTCACGTGACCATCTGTTCACCAGCCTTTTGCTCACTTTTAAAACACACATCTATTCACTAAGGAAACTACTCACAAGGTTGCTGAAAACTCTTCGACAGCCCACGACCGATTTCGCCCTCCTTGGCGCTCATCGGGTAGGCGGCCTGTGTGCAGCAGATTCATTTGGAGGACATCCTAAACGAGAGATTCAATTGAGTCTCTCGTAAAAAACGAATTGATTTGCAAATGAGTATATTTCTCAAAAACAGTCCGATTTGGGTTCAAGTAGATCATAAGGGTGACGGAAACTCGGAGACTGCGCCTACCTGATGAGTGCCAAGAAGGGCGAAACCGGTCGTGGGCTGCCAAAGAGTTTCAGCAACCTTGTGAGTAGTTTTCTTTGCGAACAGATGTGTGTTTTAAGAGTTAGCCAAATGCTAGTAAACAAACAGTCACGTATGTAATCCCTGCACACTGTGTTGCCTAAACTCAGTTGAGTCAAAGCGTTCGTGTGGCTGAGCTTTCGGGAATCCGAGTGCAAATTTACCTCGGGAAGAATTTTGTTTTTCTTGATTAAACGTATTACTCATAAGGTTGCTGGCAACTTCCCGATAATGGACGACAGGTTGTGTCCTCCTTAAAGTTTATTGGGCAGAAGCAGTCCCCGGGGTTACCAACAACCTGATCTTCTTAAACCCAAATCGCACGCAATCTGTAAAGTGAATTATTTGTACAGTAATTTGTTTTTACTGGTGGGAAACTCAACCAGACCCCTCGTCTCGGATCTTCCTGCTCAGATTTCCCCCAGGTTTGGAAAGCCTCATGAGTACACTGAAATATTTCGTATCCTTAACAAATGAAACCTGAGATAGCCTTGTGCGGCACATTCATTCAAACAGAATCATAAACGAAAGATTCGGCTG